GACGAGGGTGCGCAGGTCGTCCTCCGGGATGGACACGCCGGCAGCGAGGAGCTGCGAGTTGATGTCCGTGATGCGGGACATGAACGTGTCGACGGTGTCCGTGGGCAACCACGTGGTCGAGGACAGCTGCTGCCTGAGACGGCTGACGTGGTCCTTGCCGCTGCGGATGTAGCGCTCGCGGAGGCGGCGCAGCGCAAGCACACCTGAGCGGCCACGGTTATCGGTGATGGCCAGCCGCAGCGGGTGTCCCGTCAGGACGCCAAGGAGGAACGCGAAGATGGCTGCGTCAACCTGTGGATCACGGGGATCCAGCAGGCCAGAGGCTCGGGACGCCACCTGCGCTCCTCCGCTCGGAGTGGCGAAAGAAGGGAGAGAGGAAGAGGAGGAAGATGGGTGAGCGCCGTGGTCGTCGCCATCGCCCTCGTCATCGTCGTCATCATGGTCCGCCACGTCGTGGCGGGCGCCAGTGCGGCGCGGGCCGCGTTGAGCGCGGGAGCGAGTGCGGGGACCCTGTAGAAACACGACAGGTGGTGTGTGTGTTTACTGTAGGCAAACGCAACAAACAAGAACACAAGGAGAATGAACAAGCACAACAAGCTGCTGCCAAATCAACTCGGGCAGCACGCTCAAACAAACACTAGACAAGTGCACACACAGTCAACAGAGCTGCCAAGGCGACATGGGCAGCGTGTGCGCGAACACAAACAATCTAAACAATGAGCAGCATGCATACATGCGCGCAGAGCAATGCTAAGCATGGCATGAATGCTTGCAGGCAAGCATACACAACAGACAACACTTCACAACACTGCATGGCACGCACACATGGCATTTGCCAAGCATGACGGGCATGCACACACACATGGCACACATGACACACAACTCACGTGTGCAGAAGGAGGAGGAGAGGAGAGGCAGTTGGCACACATGCCAGCAGAGAGAAAGGAATGTTTGTCAACGGAAAACCCACAAAGCAGGTGTTGTTGGCAAACAAGACAAAACCACATGAGAAGGCAAATTAGGAAGGACTCAACACAAAACAGAAACTCACTGACTCTCAACACTCCCCCTCAACTGCCTTCCTCTGCTCCGTCTCAGCCGTCGAGGTTCCCACCAGTCGTGGCAGGTGCTGCTCGAAGGTCTGCTTGTCCAGTGCCTTGGTCAGCGCGTCGGCAACCATCTGCGTGCCGGGACAGTGCTGCAGCACAATGGTTCCGTCGGCGATGAGCTCCCGCACGAAGTGGTGGCGTACCCGGATGTGCTTCGTGCGCGGCTTGGTGACGTGGTCGTTGCCGATGGCGATGGCCGCCTGGTTATCTGTCAGCATCTTGGTGGCTCCAGCCTCGGGCTCGTCGAGGTCCATGAGCAGCTGCCGCAGGAAGACGACGTCCCTGCGCTGCTGCCGGAGACGGCCCATGTACTCGGCCTCGGCGGTGCTCAGCGCAACCGTGGGTTGCAGCCGGGCTGCTCCAAGACATAAAGACAGCCGATGATGAAACAGGTGAAACCCCGCCGAGAAGCGGCCCGTCAACCTGGTCTGTGCCGAAGCTGGCATCGCTGTAGCACACAAGAGAGAGATTACAAGCGGCAATGCAGGAAAATGACGGTGTGGTTGTGGTTCGGCGAAGGTGGCGGAGTTTGACTTTACGACGGCTTTGCCGTTGGTTTGTCGTGGGCGCGCGGGATGCCTCGGTCTTCGTCTTGGCGCCAAAGGCGGTACCTCAGGCGCTTGTTGATGCTTGCTATGCTGTCTTCGAGGGTTGACATGGCATTGGTCTTAGTTGCGCGACTCCTGTCACTGTGTAAACGGCCCCCACGTGTGAGGTGTGACCCGGGGGCGAGGCTTGATCTGCATCGCATTGACCCTGGGGCATTCTACCGCTTGTTCCGCGTCAATACTGTGGACGATATGCTTCGGTTGGCGGATGCACTTCGCATCCCAGACACGTACGTTACTCGCCATGGATACAGGTATGCAAATGGTACACCGATACGGATTAGTCGTAGCTGATGGGGCTTAATTGTGCACTTGGTTGTTCAAGGGTTGATCGCTGATGGGAATGTCGTGTGTGGCATCAGGGCCCGTGGCGTGGAGGCGCTGGCACTGTTACTCTACAGACTGGCATACCCTTGTCGGCTCGTGGAGATTCAGATTGCGCTTGTGGCATGGAGTGAAGCAAAGATCTCAAGTGTTATCAACTGCGTCCTGGATGACCTCTTCGCGCGATACAAGAACAAGGTGTGCTGTTCCTGGCCTTGCACGTCATGCATGTCTGTATTGAACTGCTCTGGTCTTACTTGGCCACCTTGTGTTTGTTTGGTACAGATTGCGTTTGATGAAACTATGCTGTCCAAGGAGCGGTGCAAGCTGTATGCTGACACCTTGGAACGAAAGGTTAGTGCGTGTGTGTGCATGCGTGTGTCTGTGTGCATGCGTGTGTCTGTGTGCATGCGTGTGTCTGTGTATGCCTGTGTCTGTGTGCATGCGTGTGTGTGTGTGTGCATGCGTGTGTGCATGCGTGCGTGTGTGTGTGTGTGCGTGTGTGTGTGTGCGTGTGCGTATGTGTGTGTGCATGCGTATGTGTGTGTGCATGCGTATGTGTGTGTGCATGCGTGTGTGCGTGTGTGTGTGCATGCGTGTGTGTGTGCGTGTGCGTATGTGTGTGTGCATGCGTGTGTGCGTGTGCGTGTGCGTATGTGTGTATATCTGTGCGTCTGTGTGCGTCTGTGTGTGTGCGTGCGTGTGTGTGTGCGTGTTTGCTAATGCAAGCTCACCCCCCCCCACTAGGGCTGCCCAGCACCTCCCCACTTCTTCGGTTTCATTGACGGGACCGTGAAGTCTGTTTGTCGTCCTGTTATCTTTGAGGATATCCTCTATACAGGTTACAAACGGACGCACGCCATCAAGTTCCAGGGGGTCATGACCCCCTGTGGACTGATGGCGAGTTTCTTTGGACCGTTCCCAGGGACTCACCACGACGCCAGGATGTACCATGAGTCCCGCGTGGAGGGACACATCAACAGACTTGGTACGTTGTCACGTTGTCAGAGGCTGCTTGTGTCATAGCAACTTGCTAGTGAGGTTGGCGGATGTGCGATCAACGACCTTTGAACTGTCCATCCCATTGTATTGCCTTTGCTCCCGCCTGCAGATGTCCCCGATGGCTATATGCTTTATGGGGACGGTGCGTATCCCTGGGGCCCCAGGCTTCGACGGCCTTTCCGACAGCCGCCCGCAGGAAGTGCAAAGGTGAGGCCCGATGATGTGCACAAAACGTGCACACATACACCACCTTCACTTACATCCTTACTGGCTGCAATCGAACCAAGACAACGTATCCACCTCGCACAGCCACCGAACGCTGTGTTTGCATACTCAATTACTCTCGCGTCTGCACCTATCCATGTGTGGTGGGCGACTTTAGCGACGGCACAACTACTTGATGTCAAAGTTTCGGCAAAGGTGTGTGTGCGCGTGTTTGTGTGTGTGCTCGCGTGTGTTGTCTTGCGTGTGTGAGAGCGTGTGTGTGCGTGGTGAACTCCAGAGCCTCCTATTGTTATGCTCTCGTGCCATTCGTTCAACGACTGACAAAAACATGCATACTTGCTTACATCTGATGCAGTGTGGAATGGGGCTTTGGCAAGCTCTTCACAATCTTTGCGTTCCTTGACTTCGGCAAGAACCTCAAGGTGCTGTGGCAACCTGTCGGTAAACTATGCCTTGTCGCGTGTTTACTCTGCAATTGTCACACCTGTTTGTACGGGTGTGAGACGTCTGACTTCACGGGTCTGGATCCCCCTGAGCTTGAAGAGTATGTGTGATCATGGCCACCTCTGTCTTTGTTTGTCGCTTCTATATGAACGCAGTGTGTGATGTCGATTAGCTCTGCATGCAAATGGTGTATTAAACACGCACAGATGAACTGCCGATCACAGACACACACACACACACACTCACGCACATGCTCACGCGCACACGAATGGGCGTGAAACGGCTGAGAAGGCACACACGCTTCACAAACACACAAGCACGTAAAATGAGAGTTGAAGACACACAGCAGGACAGCGGTCGCTAGATGATGCGGAAGCCTTATGGTGTTCTCTCTTCGCCCGAAGGTGATGGCGGCGGCAAAAGCCTGTCGGTGACCAGTTTGGCAATCGCAAGCCAAGCTTCGGTCTGTCTGTCATGCAAACGCCATCAAGAAAGACGCACGGGGCGGCTATGTGACTCAATAGCAGGTTGTAACAATGCTCTACAAACGCCGCAATGTAATTGCAAGCACCCATCGAACAGACACCACGGATACAATGACAACGAGAACATGCTTACCTCTCTTGCTGTTCCCTTGCGCGCTTGCAATCCTCAAGGAGCGCGTCAAGTGCCCGATGAAATACCTGCGTGTCGTCGATTGACTTGGATCGATGGTTCTTCTTGGGTTTCTTGGGTGTTGGCACGTCATCCACCGACTCAGCGATCCTGCCAGACTGCATGGGCCGCGTCGATCATCTCTTGCTCTTCTGCTTGGCGCTGCTCGCGTGCGAGCGTCGTTGCCGATTTGAGGGGGCGCACTTGCCTGCTCGATGAACAGTG